TGTCTGGGATAAGGTGCGCTAGGTGGATGGGCTGCCCGTTGGGTGGAGGGGTGTCGCTGGCTTCGTCCTCGCGGTCGGACTCTTCGGTGAAGCGGCTGACGAGGTCCTTGGGTTCGCTCTTCGGAGTAGTGGTGGGCGCTACTTTTTTGGTCGCTGGGGCGATCATGCTTAGGCCTTTCAGTGCAGCCTCAAAGCATATTCGGGCAGCTTCAATGTCGCCGTTTAGGGTGACAACGGCCCCTCTTCTAGTGTAGTACTTCATTTTTAGGTGAACGGTGGAGGGCACTGCGGTGAGCTCAGTCATCGTTGTCCTGCCCAGGATACAGTTGTAGAGGGACGAGCATTCAATGACCAGGAAGCGGACATTGACCTCCCCGACCGTTTATTTTTCCCCGAAGGTAACCTTTAGCTCCACGTACCCCCACGACCTTGTTGTCATCCCGTTGAAACCCTGGAGGTCAGAACCCACGTAGGGGGATAAGTTGGACTCACCGAGTTGGAGGGTTGTGAAAAGGTGGGTGTACATGATGTCCACCGAGCTTCCTCCGTCGACTAGGATACGTATGACATCAAAGTTTGCCATTTGTGCCCGTATCAGGAAGGGGATGTTTGAGTTGGGGGAGCCCCCGGGGAACTCCTCGAGGTAGAAAGTGATCGGGTTAGACCGACCACGAAACTTGTCGAGGGTGCTCATTTTGCCAGAGTTGTTGGTGATGAGTTCCTCGAACTTCCTTTTTACCGATCCCACAGATAGGTTCCTCGGGGATCCGCCGAAGATGACCATAGCCTTCGGAAAATACTCCCATCGGATGGTGGGGCGTACAGGCTCTTCGGGCAGATCAAGCTCGGCGGGGAGGCCGAATTTTCTGAGCGCGAACCAATCCTCGGGCCGGCTGACGCTGAGGGAAACCAGCAGACCGTTGTCACCGTTAGGAGAAGGGAGGCTCTCGGCTCTCTTGGCCTCGGGAGCATCTTGCCACGGGGCTTTTCCTCCCCGGGTGTACCTTTTCAGGTGCCCGTCCTTGATCAAGATTTCAATTGCGTCCTTAAGGTGGATGGAGTCTTCTGTAACATGCCCGTGGCTTTTGTGGAAGCGGCAGAACTTCGATTTGTCCATGTTGGGCTTGGGGGGTGTCGGCCTGGGGAAGCGGACACCTGCCTGGACAAACTCTGTTTTGGCACACTCGGCCAATATGCGCTCGCGGGAAGCAACTAGAGCTGTGTACTTTATAAATCGGCCGACAGGGCCGCGTTGCTCGCGGGGGCGATCCTCCCGTCGTCGTTCTCCTTCGCGCCGATGGCTCGAGGCTCCGTCCTCTCCGGACCCGCGGGGGGTTTCTTAGTCTCGAGTGTCACGGGTGGAGTTGGCCGCTTGGGTCTCCTCGAACCGGATGTAACGCGCAACCTTGTCAAGGAAGTCTTGTAGAGAGGCTGGTCGATGTATGGCCACAACCTCGTAGAATTTGGAGTCTCGGTGCAGGCCTTGCTCCATCAGGTAACGTTTCATCTCGTCCGACGTCGTTACTTGTATTGCCTCTCATGTGAACCTTTTGATGTACTTCCGGAGGGGTTCGTCGGGGGCCTGGATTATGGCGCCCAGCGCGGCCTCTGTCTTCGGGTGGTGCCGGGATGCTATGAAGTGTCTTGAAAAGAGGTCCTTCAAGACCCTCCACGGCGTGACAGATTCCGGCTCTAGAGTTTTGTACCACGTCATGACACCCTTCCTCAGTGTCGTCGAGAAGAGTCTGCACTTGATAGCTCCTCGTACATTTCGGTAGTCGAGCATGACCTCGATGTCCTCCAGGTGGTCATCTGGGTTGGAGGTACCGTCATACGTCGAGAGTGCTAGGGGCTTCTCCATTCCGTGGGGGATGGGAGCCGCCATGATCTCCCGAGACAAGGGAGTCCTGTAGTCATCCTCGTCGTTGAGAATTGGCGACTGAGGGGGTGATGGCGCTGGCGGCAGAGGCGCTTGATTTCGTGCCCTCGGCCTCCTAGCCATGGGTTCGACCCTTGGTGGTCTGGCCGGGGGATCCACCCTGGCTGGTCGTTGCTCCTAGACTTGTCTCCTTGGCGATCTGGTCCATTTCGGCACTGCTTCGGGTTTGGGCCTCCCTAGCCGGGGTCGATGATTTCTGGGACGAGGGGTTGGACTCCTCGAATTTCCGTTCTGGTCTTCCCGCGGAGGGGACCTCAATGGGACTTCGTGCTCTAGTGCGCCAATTCGTGCGTTCTGTTGGAACAACAATTGATTCGTTTGGTTGATGGTCGCGAAGAGGGTGGCCACCGTCGGGTCTGCTCCGACCGGGACAAGGATGGGCTGGAACGCTGTCGGGCTCCTTGGTCGAAGAATAGTCTGGTGTGTAGCTTCTTCGGACGAGGGGGAGGCAGTCTGGTCGTCCCTCTCGTCGGTGTCCGGAGGTTGGGATGCCTCTGTTTGCTTGGCACCGTTCGCGGCGGGAGCGAGGATGAGGTCGTGAACGGCATCGTCGTGGTATGGGCTAGCCATGATCGCGAAATGTTGATGAAACTTTAGTTCTCTGCTCGGAGGAACGAGGAAGTTTTATGTTCCCACAGACGGCGCCACTGATCTGACCTGGTCAGAAGGGGACCAAAGACTTGCCACACGTCGTTGATCTGCTACCTACTCACCGGTGTTGCAAAAAAGGAGATGGGAGGTGTACCTGCAAGGCACTGCGATGCCAAAGTAAGAGTCTGGACAGAGTGACAACAAATACAGAAAAAGGGTAAGAAAAGAATACTTGACTCTCTTGTGAAAGAGGGTATTTATATAGAGACCCCAGCGCAGGACCAACGGTCATTTGAGTTAGGCTGGATGGCCAGGTCCAACCTAAGTGACTGCTAGGGCTTACGTGGCGTAGTGAAGACCAGAACGTGGTCTTCGCCCTAGTTCAACTGTCCAGTGATCTCCGGAAATTGGGTTTGACCTGCTCTTTCGGAGGTGGGCAATTGGTTGGTGACGTGTCCCCGCGGAGAGGAGCACGTGAAAAATGTGTGAAGGACACGTGTTCTGCTCGACAAGGGAGAAGGTTCTGCCCGCGGAGGGGCCATTGCCTGCCCGACGGGAAACCTGTGCTCGACGAATGTGGCCCAAGCAGGATTGGGCTTGACAGAATACCATTGGGCTGGGCCTGCCCGGTCAAGCCGGGGACCAGGCCAAAACAATATCATTTATTGATTATTATGAAATAAGAGGTAACTATTTGTAAGTAAAATATGATTCTCCTAAAAAGAAAACCAAATAAAATTCGATATGTTTATACTATTTCACTTTCCCTTTCAACAAAATACATGCATTTTTCTATTGTTAATATTTTGACACTAAATATAATTAATTAAAATTATTAGTAGTGACAAAATATAAAAAGATAAAATATATAACAATCTAAAAAGTTAAAATAATAAGGTAACTAATTTGTTACTAACCACAAAGTTACAAGCTATTTAGGAAAATGTATTAGCAAAAATAACAAATAACCAATAAAATCTGTAATTTGTCACTAACAAAAAAATTTATGTGAGAATGCTATTTAAGTAATACACTACTAAGTATATTAAAAAAAATTAATTTTTTTTTTTAAAAAAAGTTTAAAAAAAACAATTAAACTGCCGATTTTTTTGGTTTTCCCAGTTCGCACCGGTTCAATGGCGAGGCCGATCCGTCAATTGAACCAGGCCGGCTAGTGTCCCGATTCCCAGTCCGACCGATCTGACCGGCCGGTCCGGTCCGATTTTTAAAACACTGACTAATGCATTAAATTACTTAATATTATTACTATTTAAATCTATTAATTAATATATTATATAAATATGTATAAATTATTTATTTATTTATTAGTTAAAATATTTAAAATATATTATAATCAAATTCGTGCTTCGTAGGTGTTCTACCTACCTATGATCTTAAATTAATTTTTCTTTTGGAAATTAATAGTTAGATGGGAAATTTGCGTATGTCTTAGTGAAGACAAATGGCACAACCAGACATCATGGTGAATTTAAAGGCATTTTTTATTTGATAAAAACCAAATCTTAGTTTAGAAAAAGATTTACACCAAAAAGCCATCAAGTAGTTCATCTACATCTGTTGTGGTATAAAGAAACTATCCTTGACAGTTATTGCGTTAAGAGCTCAATAGAAATCATCACGTGCCAATCTTTCATTTTTATTAGCAAAATGGGAGATGAAAAAATACGTACTAGATTTGATGATGCCTGCAGCATTTTGTTTAACATTTTTTTTCCATTCGTTCATTTTGGCCATGTGAATACAGTATGTGACTTGGACCCCTCTACAACAGGGATTCTTGTTGTCTTTTAGGTGGTAAACCAGTAGGTGAGTTGAAGACAGACTGTAGGCGTACAACAAAGTTACTAATACAAAGTTGAGACAAAATAATGCATAATCAGCCACATGCGAGCCTAGTGTGGCTAACCAAGTAGCTCCAAGATTATTCATTTTATGGTCTCTAGAAAACTTGTATCCTTCCCACTATACACAACATTTTTAACCATTGATTTCACCCATTAAGAAAGTATAACATTTATGTACCAATTTACTATAAAACAATCTTTGACAAACAATACTAAGCACATACTTATCATGATCAACATTAATACAAGTGATTCTCAGCAAAACTATTTCTAAATATCACTGCTCTTCAAATGGCAGCACTCAAAGGGAAATTACACTCTTTCTATGTAATCTAAGACTTTCATTCCTTCAACTGCATTCAACTGATATTAAACTATTTCTTTGGTTCCAAAAGAGGGACAAATCGAAGCAATTCAGCTACACTAATGACATAAAAATCTCTCTCTAACTCCTTGTACCCTCTCTATATATGTGAAAACTCTATAAAGTAATAAATCATATTATTGGGTTACCAATGTCCTCTATAAACTATATTGATTCATGCATGCATGCATGCATGTATATTTCGTAATATATGAATCAATCTACTGCTGGCATTAATTTGTCATCTTGAAACCTTGACGGATGAATACCATAGTTTTTTCTTGCATATCAATATCTTCTCCGTGTCACCCCTCTGCTCGGTATCTTCTTTACGACACTCCCATCGCATACCATTGGCAATGGTTGTAATGGCCTCCAAAAAGTAATTTGACTCGCGTATGATAGCATACCCATCAGGTCGTAAAATCCGATCCATTTCCAGCAATACATACTTCATTTCACATCTGTTAAGTAACAATCATTGTTAGAATGAACCAGCCAGAAATACAAGTAAACTATGAAACAAATAGCATGACTAGCTCTGTTTGCCAAACACAAATTTGTTCATATTGAAATTTGTAGTTGTAATGTTCATTTTAGTCCTTACTGAGGGGGAAAAAACAAATAAACTACATATTATAATAACCAATTTTGATACCAAAAGAATGTATATTTACAATGACTAATAACAAAAAGATATTTTTACACGGATTAGAAGCAAAAAATGAATTATTTGCAAGGACCAAAAGTATATTTAAACTAACTATTGATATGTTCTAATACCAACAAACAACTCATTATAATGTCACCTGTGGCTTTCTTCAGTGAAGAGTCCTGCAAGATGAAGTAGGTCATATGTCCGAGGATATGTTGAAAATGCTTCACACCTATCAAAACAAAAATCAAATCAACAAAAGATCATTTATAAGAACAAAGTATATTCATAAATAAGAACTCCATGCCTCAATTTCTATTTCAAAATTACCAGTCATGGAAAGTTCCAATGAGGCCTCGATCATAAATCGCAGGGAGCGTGTTGGGACCATAAGATGAAACCACATTCATAACCCATACAGGATCATCAATCAAGGCCGCAGCAAAACCTCCAAATTCTGTATTCATATCCATGACATTTCTTATCTTGTCAGTTCCAAACTCAGGTATCAACTTCTTGTAGTGCGTAATGCGCTTCTTCCACTTACTATATTCATTTTTGAACGTATAAGGACTCCCATGATAAACCATTGAAACGCGCTCAGGTGTAGAATGCAACCGGTCAGGCCATTTCGAAATCGATTTCAGACCTAATTTCTTAAATTTTGGATCCGGAACTATAAAACAAGTACGGATTGGAGTATACCATGCTGAATCTGCTTCGACGCTGTCATCACATTTAGGCGGATATGTATCTCTAGTCAGGTTTTTATAGCAATTACTATCAGGCGACTTCTGCCATACGGCAATGTCGTCTTTTTTATTATACAATTTAAAACACAATGAAGTCAGCAACTCCTGCAATTTCTCGTAGTTTGATCTTTGTTCTTCGATTGTTGTGTCCCATCCACGCCACCTGCGCTCGTAGTTTATTGGTGGACCGGACAAGACCCAAAATCCTCCAGGACGAAGAATCCGGTGTATTTCGAGAAGATAAACTCCACCTAGTAAAAGATTTCAATTTGAATTTCAAAGTTTAAGAAGTTTCAAGACCAGTAAAGTTCATGATCATGGGTAAATGTTGCGAAAAAACAATAAATTATGTTTGATTGATCTAAAAGAGCAAAATCCATAGAAGAAGTACCATAGTCTGTCCATGGAATGAGACATCTGGAGCAATGAGCCATATCAAAGGAATTTGACGGGAACGGAAGCCTGTGTAAAGCAAGGACACCAAGAATTGCAGGGAGACCACGTTCCAAAGCGAATTGAACCTGAGCTTGATGATTATCTCTAGGAGCAAGAGAAACAGTAAGAATCCCACGATCCAGCAAGTCACCACCCCAGCTAGCAACCTAAAACGAACAAGAGTGATATGGATTAATCAATGTACCTCTTTTGCCTATCATGTGATTGAAAATAGCAACTGAAATTAACTGGGTTTTTTAGTCACAAAATTAGTTGGATTTGAAACTTATTTCCATTGCAATTAAGCACAGCTACAAGCAATAGCACATATAGTTGGAACTAGAACATGGTTGTTAAAGGAGACTGTAATTTGCTAGGCTATTCCCTACATCAAAACCAATCCAGTCAAATAGCAGCTATAGTGCTATACGTAGAGGAATTTGAACAAACAACTATTGTTCGGCAATATGTAATTTAGTATAAAGTTTTGTCAAATAGCAGTTGAATTGGCACTATACTGTTGTAGAATTGGAACAAACCTCTATTTCATGTGATCTGCAATTGACAACACTGATAAAAACATACAAAGATGTAAGACTCACCCCACAACCAGTATCGATGGCAGTTCGAATAGTCCCATCTTTCATTTCTGGGATCAGATCTTCCATTAAATCAACATATTTACCAACACCATTCGGGAACATAGTACCCCCACCGGGAAAGAAAAATTTCTCCCCCTCCTTTTTCAACCAATGTTGATTGGACTTCTGCTCATTAATCCAGTCATATGGAACATTCCTGAAATTCATAAAACAAAAAAAACATAATGGAGTAGCCAAATATCAATTGCACGAAATGTCAGTCTTATATTTTAATTTGTCGTAACTCGTAAGGCATATATTATACCTGTACCAACATTCATCTCTGCTCTTTGGCCATCTAATTGGAGGTTTGTATCCATCTGGGGGAGGAACCAAGCATTCTTTCCTCTCAAAAACCGGAGGGCAATGACGCTCCAACAAAATGTATCGATAAGATCCATACTTCTTCCATCTCTGTAAAATTAACCATAGTTAGACCCTAATTGGATAAATTACTAAAATTGATCACATATAGCATAAACGCTTATGTTTTCTACAATGAAAAATAAAACAAAGGCAGAGTATTTTTAAATAAGTTATAAGCTTTTTATAAGCCACGTACACTCCTAAATAGTCTCACAAAAAGCATATGCCAATAGATAAGCTCGCCAATCCAAACACGAATTTAATCATTAAGTGTATGTTTGGTTTAGCATTTGGAAGAGTAAAAAAAATCTAGAGGTATATAATTGATTTTGGAATGATTTTGAGGTGTTTGGTTCTTCTAAATTAGAAATGATTCTGCTTCCAGAACTGATATACTTGAAGCTAGAATTTGTAGCTTTTGAGTTTAAACATAATTTTTAAACCGAAATTTGTTATTCAACTCACTTTTACATAAATATATCTAAACGTAAATCAATTTGCATCCAACTCATTTTCTAACCAGAATCAATACTACAAAATCAATTCACTCAAAATCAATTATAGTCACAGCAGAACACACACTAAGAAAACATTCTTCTACAAATCCTATAACATAAGCAAATGAAAAACTGAATTCATATTACCCTTGGGTCTGTACATGGAGTGAAATCTTGATAATCAATACCACATTCAGGAAAACTGGTATAGTTAATTTTCAAAGAATTTTTCGATGACGACAACGATCCCTTCGGGAAATCCATGGATCTCTGACTGATAATCGATACAAATTTATCATTCTCAGAACCAAATAGTACACCTAAATAAAAAGAAAGACCACACAGCACCACAAATATGATTGACATAGGAACAAGCCTGCTCCTATCCACCGCTTTTCCTTCATTATTCATCATCATCAGGTGGAATAATCGATTATCTGTATAAAAAAGACTATATACTCAAATAGCTTAAAAAATAAGCGATTAATTAGACGAGAAACAGTTAATTAAGTTGTTTACCTAAAGAGAAATCCCGATGAGAGATCGAAAGAGAGAAGCAGATCTGAGAGAGAATCGGATAAAGAGAGTTAGTTAGTTACGTTTTGTTTGTTTGTTAGTTGTGATTGAGAGAAAGAATGGAAAGAGAAAAAGAGAGACTGAAGACGGAGTAGTATTTGAGAGTATGAACAAGTTAGAAAAGGAAAGAATGGCATGCAATGATAGGTCAAATATGAGATGCTAACAACTTTAACTATAGCTCTAATTATTAAACCATAGTATGTAACCAAGTGTGGGTAAGTGATTAGTTGTTATTTTCCTTGCCTTTAACTTCAACATTTCCTTTTTTTTCTCTCACCCATCCTTTTTGCTTTTCTGTTTTTTCAGAATACTTTAATTATTATCATTTTTATTAAATAGGAGTATATTAATTAACTCGTTATTAGATAAGGTAAAATAAAATTTTTACGTTTAATAGTTGTATTTACACTGTGAGACTGAGAGTCATTTGCTTTATAAAAAACGTGAGAGCCATTACCATTTGTCAGAAAAAATGCATTTGTTTGTTCTAGTATTTTATTTTATAAAAAGGATGTCGGCCTTTTATATTTTATTATTTTCAGGATTTTCTTGACTTTGTTTCTTTGCATTATTGTGTTGGGACTCGGGAACAATCGTAGTATTTGATACTAATACTCGTACAAATTTAAATACTTCCTCTATTTTATTTTAAATAGTTTTCTAAAATTATGTACATTTTTTAAAATATTAATTAGCTGTATCAATTTTAATGAATATATTTTATTATAGTTAAGTGAGCTAAAACTTAATAAAGACATATCAATAAAAAATCACAAACATATAAAACAAATTTAAGAGAATCAATTTTATTGTTCACTAGCGAGGGTCTCATTTAAAGACAGAACAAAATTTTGTATGGATTGCTCTAACATAAAAATTGATTGTATCTAGTAGAATTTGAACTTAAGACTTTAAGAGAAACATACACTCAAAACTCAAGCCTCCACCACTAAACCAACTCTTAGATGTTACATATTGTTTATAGTTAATTGTTAGTGTTTCGTTCATGAATCGGAAGCGAGTTGCGAAATGATGTAATGAGGTCTTGAAGCGATGGAGCAAGTTTTTTTTTGTTAGAGTCATCAAATTTGGAGTTCAATATTAGAGGAGTTAAAATGGTTTAGTTTACATGAGTCGACCTACCAAGTCAAAAAATTTATAAGATTTGGACCTTAAAAATTAGAGTTTTTATTCTTCAGGTTTTTTTTTGTCCGACTCTAAAAAGTTTGTTATCTACTAAGGCTTACTCGTATGAGTTGTGGATAGCGTGTTAGATCCACATAAAAATAAATTAAAAAAGATATATTAATATTTATGTTGTCTTACTCCAAAACAACACATTGATTTTTTTCTACCTCATTAAATTTTATGTCAACAATCTTTCTCTTTTAAATTTATACATTAATATAATCAAATTAAAATTCAATTATTTTGTGTTTAACTCACAATTTTCTCATATTTTATTAGTTTCTCTTATTTTAAATATTTAATTATTATTATATATAATTTAGATATGGATTGTATTTAAAAATATATTATAGTATTTATAAATTATAATATAGTATTAAAAAATGTATTATATTTAAAATAATATATTTTTATTGTATTTATAATAAATATTATGGGATTTTGATTTTGATTTTTATATAAAAAATAATTAAAAAAAAAACTCATTTAGGGAAGGGTAGCACAAAACGCGTACAAGGTCAGACTCAAGTAGTAATTTTTGAGCACGTATTACAACATGGTTTTTTTGGCCCAGTCCTAAAAAGTCTGAGTTTCGTCATGACCAATCTGTTTAGGGTCGGGTAGCCCGTTTTGATAGCTCTAGCCAACATGAGGGAACATTTTTACATTGAAAGTTTTCTTTATGAGCAACACACCACATATTCACCTAAAATCTTAATATGATAGGTGTGTGGATTCTCTTGTTGTGAGGAAACCACAAACATAACAGATTAATCCAACAAAACAATCTCTCCTAAATATCAAATGTAACGACAATTAAAAAAGCACACCAAACAACACAACACAGTTTTAGTGTGGAAAAACCTCTATTAACTAGTAGTAAAAAACCATGCGACCTATAAGCCACTTAATATATTCACTATAATAAACAATGGGTACAAGCAAGGTTCTCTCTAACACTAGTTAGAGGCATACATAAACATCATCAAGATCTACAATCAATCTTGGAATACAACAAGAATTAATAGAGACAAATAACCCAAAAAACACCAAAAAAATTTCACCTCGGAAACGGACTTGTCAAGCCCACTTAGAATGCTCAGAATCCGATCTGTACAGTTCAGAATGTAATTCTATGAGTGGCGAACACTATGCCAAAACTTCAGGATGATCCAACAGTTAAATTGTACGAAAACTCTAATCTCGTGGAACTGGTCTGTGCTGAATTAAGGTTGCAGGATTTGGTGTGGCTACTAGGGTTTTCACTCTTCTCTCCTATTTTCTTTAGTTATTTTTCACATGTTAACCATATTTCTCTTTGTTGGATAATAACAAAGGCTTGCACACACATGAGCTACTAGCCCTTATTCATTTGGGCCACTCCAAATAGGAGGGATAACCCGACAAACTCCCTCGGCCAACTAGTTGGAGGGCAACACAAATTTGGATACCTTGCAACAAAACTCAAACTTTCCCCTATGCAACACCTTCGTCAACATATATGAACCATTGTCATCAGTGTGAATCTTCTTAAGCTCCATCAATTTGGAATCAAATGCATCATAAATCCAATGATAACGAACATCAATTTGCTTCGACCTCGAGTGAAAGGAGGAATCCTTCGATAAGTGAATGAAACTTAGATTATCAAAAAAACAATACATACTTTTCTTATTTCGCACCAAGTTCCATTGCAAATTTCCTCAACCACAATAACTCTTTTGACGCTTCCATGATGGCTATAAAATTGACTTTAGTAGTAGAGATTGCAACACACTTTTGTAACTTTGATTGCCAAGCCACAACTCCCCCGACAAAAGTCACCATATACCCCAAAGTAGATTTTCGATCATCTAAGCTTCCGGCTAGATCCGAATTCGTATACCCAACCAACATAGGTTTCTTGCATCCCAAGATTAGATTTAAATTCGACGAGCCACACAAATATATGATCGCCCATTTCACGGCCTCCCAATGATCTTTTCTCGGATCTGAGAGATAACGACTCACCATTCCCACGACATGAGCAATATCGGGTCTTGTACGAACATAACATACATCAAACTACCAACTGTCGACGAGTACAAAATGTTCTTCATACTCAACTTTTCTTTATTCGTAAATGGACATAGTTTATGACTAAGCTTGAAATGAAAAGCAAGTGGAATGCTCACCGCTTTAGCCTTATCCATACTAAAACGCTGAAGGATTTTCTCTACATACATTTCTTGTGACAAGTACAACTTCTTCTCATTTCGATCTCGAACAATTTCAATACCAAGAATTTTCTGAGCCTCTCCTAAATCCTTCGTAGCAAAAGATTCACTCAAAGTGTTCTTTAACTCGTTAATTCTTGAAATATCCTTTCCAACAATTAGAATGTCATCCACATAAAGCAAGAGAATAGTGAAATCACCTTCAGAAAAATTCTGAAAAAACACACAATGATCGGCCTTGGTCATCTTGTACCCATGTTCAATCATCACCAAGTTGAAATTTATATACCATTGGCGACGATAATGATTCTTTCTAGTACTAGGATCTTTAAGTGTTTTTTGAACAATGTGCACTAAAATCTTAATCGTTGGTGATGCGATTCTCAGTTCCTGATGCTGACGATCATACGATTCACCTTTCCTTGGGAATGTATAAGGAGTATTGGGGTTATTGTATTCTTCTTTTTGCAATTTTTGACATTTTGAAAGTTTTTTCTCACTTCTGAAATCTCTCTTAATCTTCTCCCATTTTTCGCTACTTAGTGTTTGTGCCATCTCTAACAACTAGGTTATTGTATTTTCTTATCATTTTTTTGAAGTTGTCAAGTCCTGTATTATGAGTTTAGAGAAATAAAATAACTTTTGAGTATTAGAAGTCTTGCATTGAAGTTGTCTGGTCCACCCAATCTCCCAGAGGTCTTGCATTGAAGTTGTCTGGTTCAAATATTAATACTGTAGGTTTTACTAGTAAGTTGTATGATCCATTCCTTTTTTAATGATGTTCATCGGAGAACTTAGACCTAAGTTATTTAGTTCATTGCCAAAAAAATCAAAGATCAGAAGTCTTATAGTAAAGACATCTAGTAATCAATTTTACTTGACTGAATATCTTTAATATAAGACTTACGTGAATGTTCATTTTTAAGCCTCTAGAGGTCTTGAGTTAGAGTCATCCATTTTTTTATTGCAAATTTGTGTAAATTTATTTTACTAGTGGTGTGTAGTCTAGGGCAGGACAATAAGATTATTCCATGTGGAGCTTAGGACGATGAGCATTACAAGATCAATGGGTGATGGATGCACCACAAGATCCAGAAGGTGGGCATGTAGAGCAGCTACATTATTTTTTAGGAGGACCATATGACACATCTCTTTTGGTATGCTACGATCAACACGTTACTTGCCGCTTAAGGTACATAAAGGTAAGTAATTCTTTTTTATTAAGTTGAATAATATCTAATTTTAATTATTATTTATATTTTATAATTTATAATTTATAATTTATAATTTAAATTGCTTTCAAGAGTGATAGAGAAGAAAGAACTTAAAATTTAAACTCATGGGAGTAAGATGATAGAGTGGATTTCATAGTATCTTTCGCCCGTGATAAAGGGATGGTTGAATGACTCTTGTTTATCTTCACTCCAGATAACC